GGCCACACTCCACTTGAGAGAGCATGAGTGTAGGCTCCCTAGTCCGTCTGGCGAGGTTAAGACTGCCCGTCTATTCCATGCGTCAGGTGTAGACAACACCTTGGAACATTGCTGTCTCAGTGCTCCCGCGTTCGCGCGATTAGTGAAAAAGGAGCAATTAGAGGATCAGGTCTTTGTAGTGTATGTTAGACCTGTCACTGAGCCTAAGGAAGAGGTTAGTTCCACGGATCCAGCCATCGCCAAGCTGCTGGAAGAGTTTAAAGACTTATCTGAGCCGCCGACAGGAGTAGTCACGCGGCCGATCCAGCACAGGATAGAGATAGAGCCTGGCAGTCGAACTCCTAAGGGAGCCGTCTACACGAAGTCCCCTAGAGAGTTAGAGGAGCTGCGCAAACAGTTAGACGAGCTCCTTGAGAAAGGTTGGATTAGGCCCAGTTCGTCTCCTTTTGGAGCACCTGTTCTATTTGTCCCCAAGAGGGAAGGAGAGTTGCGCATGTGTATAGACTATAGGGGTTTGAATGCAATTACAGTCAAAAATGCTGAACCACTGCCCAGGATAGACGACCTCTTAGATCGGGTGCAGGGTAGTAAGTATTTTTCAAAGATAGATTTGAAGTCCGACTACCATCAGATAGAGGTCCATCCTGATGATCAGTATAAGACTGCGTTCCGGACTCGTTATGGGCATTATGAGTTCATAGTAATGCCCTTTGGACTGACCAACGCGCCAGCTACGTTTCAGTGTTGTATGAATGATCTGTTTAGGCCTTGGTTGGATAGATTCGTCGTAGTGTACTTAGACGATATCTTAATGTTTAGTAGGACCCTCCAGGAGCACCAGGGTCATTTGAGGCAGGTCTTGGAGAAGCTGAGAGAGGCTAACTTCAAGATCAATGCGAAGAAGTGCGAGTGGGCCAAGACACAAGTCCTGTACTTGGGCCACGTATTAGACGGAGATGGAATTAAGCCAGAGGACAGTAAGATAGCAGCAATTAGAGACTGGCCGACGCCCCGCACATTGACAGAGTTGTGGTCGTTACTAGGCCTAGCTAACTACTATAGAAGTTTGTGAGGAACTTCTCCACTATCGCCGCTCCCCTTCGCAGGTTGCTCAAGAAAGAAGCAATCTGGCAGTGGGATAAAGACTGTACGTCCGCGCTAAAGAAGTTAAAGTGCGCGTTAATAGAGTATCCTGTCCTCAAAGTAACAGATCCGTCTTTGCCATTTGTCGTCACCACGGACTCGAGTCAGTATGGTATAGGCGCCGTGTTACAGCAAGACGACGGCAATGGTTACAGACCCGTAGAGTTCATGTCCACGAGGATGCCCTCAGAGAAGGTTGCCACCTCGACGTATGAGAGGGAACTCTACGCTCTCAGACAGGCCTTAGAGCACTGGAAGCATTACCTGCTTGGGAGGCACTTCAAGGTGTACTCCGACCATGAGACTCTTAGATGGTTGAAGACAGGCCAAAATGACACCTAAGTTGACTAGGTGGGCCAGTGAGATATAGTATGACTTCGAGCTCAAGCGAGTTAAGGGCAAGTACAATGTAGTTGTGGATGCTCTGAGTAGGAGATCAGACTACTTTCGAGCCATAGTTCACTATCTGGACATAGGGCGTGACCTGCAAGAGAAAGTTAGACAGGCGTATGCACAAGACCCTATCTATAGTGACCTCCTCAAGAGAGTCAAGGAGGCCCCAGATACTGAGCCAGATTACCACACTACAGATGGGTTGTTATTCGAGAAGACTAACGTAGTAGACCGTTTATGTGTTCCCAACAATGAGGAAATCCGCAGTTTGATCCTAGGGGAATGCCATGATACGGAGGGACACTTCGGTTGGCAAAAGACTTTAGCCAATCTTATGCACGCGTACAGGTGGCCAGGAATGAAAAACGACTGCATACAGTATGTCCGTAGTTGTAAAGTCTGTCAGAGGAACAAGACTACAGAGTGAAGGGGGAGGGGATAAACACAGGGAGGAGAGATGGAGAGCAGACAAACAAAGCACGATAAAGGGAAAGTAAAGGAAAATATGGAGTGTGGAGTGACGATGAAGGCAAAAGAGGATAAGAAAAGGCTCAAGAATGAGTCTGTCCTTGACGACAGAGAGGACATACATTGTAAGGATGAGGTGGATGAACACATGGAAGACCTAGCTGAGCATTCTCAGTGCAACAATTGCCATGACGGGTGGCATTGAGCATGCCCACCATACACCCCCGACAAATGGCATGTCGATTGCAGGCCAAAATGAAAGAAGAACGGTCACCACAAAAGAGCATGCATTCAGTATAGCGCCCATGGCCGCAAAATGGACATATAGTGTCCGGAAGCAGAGGGTGCCTACAGTCAGGAACGGTGGGACAGTCCTCTGCACATGGATGCAGAAACCATGTCATTGTGACAAAGACGATGGCGGCTACAGCCGTGTGTAACAGTGTTTGTGGTTGTGCAAAGGAGAAGGTTGCAGAGTGTTGGTACATTATCTTGCTGCAGCACGGGGCCAGAGGAATGATCTTCGACATAAAAGAGATCGCGGACGGTTTGTTGTGGCAAGAAAACAGCATCATTTTGTAAGAAATCGGTGACATCAATCATGGCATGGACCACGGTGCCATTGTCCCACAGCTCCCAGTGGTCAGAGGCATGTACAATTGCAAGCAGAGATGTGGGATGGAGGATTAAACCACTCACCTGCTCGAGCATTGCGTAGTTCAAGTTGACGGTCCCTCATTGCTACTTGTAGGACAGCAATGGTAAAGCCTCCTTCACTGGTATAATTACAATCCTTTGGCTGTCGTTGGGGAAGATCAGCATCAAGCTGAAGGGCGATTGCAAGGAAGTCTGATGGTGTATAAAAAGGGCGGTGGAGAATGTGAAGACAGA